TCAAACGGTCTGGAATTATGAAATTTTATTTTATCGGATATTTATGTAACCAAGTAAAAATTATTGACGGACATTACTATTTTTTTATAAAAAATTTATAGCTGAAGACTATTATACACATGATTATCCAGAAGAAGATAACGAAGGTGACTATGATTACGAGTATGATGATGATGATGATGATGATGACGATGACGACGATGAAAATCAGAAATATGGTAATTATAATAATAAATTTATTAATAATCAAATTAATAAAATTAATAAATTTTAATTTTCAGATGAATCAAATGATGATTATTCATCAGACGAGCAGGATTACTACTATTAAATTAGAATTTAGAATGGCTTTTTAAAATAATAATAATCAAAATTCAGGTATTGATAGTATTATTATTTATAGATAATAATGGCATATGCAACCACAATTAAATGCAGTTACGATTAACCAAATCCGACCAAGAAATATATACGCTAGCAAGATGACATTAAAAAAAGATAAAACCCGTTTTTGAAAGTGTAAAGCTTATTCTTGGTTTCATTAAAAAAAAACAATAGATTTCTTTATTGTTAAAGAAATCAACCAAGACTTTTTAGTTTAAAGACACATCGCTTGCCACTGAATATTTAAACCAATCAAATTGTCAGTCGATAATGGAAAAAAAACCTCTTGATATATATTTTTTTAAATAATATGGGACATACTGCAACAGGTGAACATTAATTACATCACATAAAGAATTCAGTATTTATGATGATTATGTGATACATTTGATGTTATTTATTAGTCGAAATATTCTGTCATTCGACATTTAAGCTGTCGAAGGTCTAATTGATGTCGAAATTCCTAAATGCTATTGAAATTCCTAATACTAAACGTTGTCAAAGATTGATGAAATGTTTAAACATATTAAACAATACAGACTATTCGTAAGATACACACCAATAAACCCCCTACATTGCATTAATATTTTTCATCACGCATTATTTATGATATTCCAAGTTGCCATATAATGTTAATGATGGGAAGTTTAACGATAAAATATTTACCTTAAAAACAATAAAACAATAATGAATAGTGCTTTTTAAAAATTAATTGATTGATTGTATATATGTTTCCATTTCGATACTTTTTTATCATTTTCAGAATTGTTTGTTACGATGTGATCTCAATTCTACCTTTTTTTTTATATAAATAAAAATAATTACTATATATATTAATTTTATATTTTAACGTTAAATATTTCGATATTAATATTGTTTTGAATCGGTCGCGTTTACTTCGTCGAAAATTATTTCGTCCTCGAGCCAGAGACCGAAAGAGTTAGGGTGGTGGCGTGTG